GAGAATAATCTTCTAGCTCGATTTGATGAATTTAAGGAGTTTTTGACAATCCTTCAATTTGCGATGAATTTCTCCACAAATAATTTAGTAAGTTCATCAAATGTATGAATGATCTCCTGGGATTGAATAAAACCAAGTACGTGAATGGCCTTTAACAGTAGCTAAAAAAGCTTGACAAAGAAGCATATAAAAAGCATGTTGCATGTGCATAATGGCTCTATAATAATTAATGTGTTCATGTGAGTTAGACAACTCATCATAGAATCAACGCTTGGAAGCTTGATCCCTTTTGAATATGGTGTTCAGGGACAATCTCAGTCAAAGAAGAAGAGTTGAGAACTATGCAGAGTACAGAAATAACTTTTATCCCTTAGAGGGAACTCTTGCACTAGATGGTGTAACTCTTCACAGGTTACATGAGGGTAAACAAAGTTCTCGATACTTGGTGGTTTGCTGGTAGGCTTCACTACATAAAATGAATGTGTATAGCTAAAATCTTCTAGAAGGTCAGCTTTCTGAGGAGGAATATTAGTGTGTGGAGGGGTGTTAAGTGTATACATTGAATTAGTGGATTTTGAAATAATTTTTACCCTTAAGTATGCATTTTCATTGGTTATTGATCCTTATGTAAAAGTTAAAGGATCTCTTTTTGAGATTCCTACATTTTTTGTACACTGTCTTCAAGAGGTGCAAAGAAAGTTCCTTCCCCAACTAGATGATGTATATTTTTGGAAAACAAAGACGAGGCTTGGCATCCCATACTTCGAGATTGCGCTTTGGAATGATGACTATTAGAGTGATAAGCTCATGTATTATGTTTGTTAGTCATTGAAGAAGTTTAGACTTATATAAACGGGACTTTGTTTCCCAATGAAGACATCAAATTATTGGGTCGAAAAAACTCACTGTGGTAGAGTTATAATTTATCGTCTTAGTGTTGCACGAAAACCTAACGCACACACACATATAAGAGAAAATTAGCAGGAGGAAACACCGAGATTTCTTACATTGAAAAACCATGGAAGGGAAGAAACCACAATGCTTAGTCAAGTCAATGTAATCTACTATATGTATTTAAGTACAATGTTACACCCTTCTATCATAATGAGAGAATAGGTTAATATATTTACAATAAAAATTATGCTTTTCAAAAAATACAAGTATTAGGAAATTCAACAATGATCATGGTCAAACTATAACGATTATAAGTAGTGTTTGTCGATGGTGAGTGTTCGGTGGGTGGGGGTTGGCCAGTGGCTACAGAGGCTAGTGGTTGGCAGTGGATAGCGGCTTAAGAGGTTTATGGTTACTCATCGAGACTTTTCTCCATAAAATATTTTGGAATTCTACTTCCCATCCTCTTTTTTTGTCTTCTCCCCAGGTGATGAGAGGGGGCCTCTTAATAAGCTTTTGGGGATCTTTTGGTGAATAACTTAACCACCTGATCAAACGATCTATGTTAAATCTTCATTCATCATAGTAGTTTTTTAAGAATTTGAGTGTCTTTTTGACCTCGGAGTTAGTGATTTTAGGGTCATTGGATTCCTTTTGTTAAGGTGCTTGACTCAACTATAAACACTTCAAATTTGAAGTTCATTTGACTATAGAACTGAGAACCAAAAACTTCAAATTATGCTTCAACAACTTTATTTAGGCTTTGTTGGAACCGGATCAAACCTATTTTGACTTCATTGGGTTTGTATTGCAATGATTGTCGACTTGTCTATAAATTTGTCAAAATCATACCTAGACGGTCTCAAATTTGAATTTAAAATATTTATTTTTAAAAAAATATATCGAGATCCATATTAGATACAAATTTGTTGATGACTCAAAGTTATGCATAATTTTGCTAAAAAATTATCTAATGAAGAAAAGTAGTAAAATTGTATATACCATAATAAATAAAATTGAATCAAACTTCAAATATGTTTAATTTTCCATACCAAAATTTCAATAATAATTTTTTTTAAAATTAATAAAAAAAATATCTTCTAGCATACGAAACAACATGAAAAATGCTAATAAGAGTGAACTCATTGGGGGGGAAAAATTTATTTAAAACCAACAAAAATACCATTTTAGCATTTTCTTTAATGAATTTCAATTGTTTTCTCGATCTCAAATCCAAATTTATATAGTATATTGTCATGCATACATACATACAAGCACAAAAAGAAAAAAAAATTAAGAAAATAAGAATGAGAGTTCAAGAGAAGAAAGGAAGGACTTCTTTTGGATATGAATATTTACATGCATACCACTCAATTCTTATGCATCCATATATCTAACAACCAAAATTTTACTTTCTACAATTATACCGCCCCAAATTTTCATATCACATCAAAAATATCAATATTTTAATTTAAAAAAAAATTAAAATATTTATTTTCATTTATAAATAAAATAGTATATACGTAAAATTTAAATGTTAGACATCCAAATACAAAAGAACTAAGAACTATGTGATATGCAAACCTTTCTTTTTAATAACTCCATACACTCAAATTTAATTGATTCAATTGATTTTATAAATCAAATCATCCAAACTAATCAAATGCAAACCCACCTCTTTCCTAGTTCTAAGACTGAAGGACTGCCTTCTGCAACATACTGGTATTTTCAAACATCATTATCCTATGTTCCATTTGATACTCTCTAATCTGCATAAAAATCAATTAAAATGTCAATATTATATCTAAATAAATAAATAACATATATATATATATATATATTAAATTTAATTTACCTCTTCTATACTCATATTAATAAATCCAAAATTTTCCACCCACATAGGAAGGCTGTGAATATCAGCTGGAAGTATCAGCTTCTCCACCTTCATGAAACTCAGCATCTCTTCAATTTTCAGAAGTAAGATTTTGAAGAAACCCTGCAGAATGTTCCATTTCATACAATTTAGAAACTTTTTTCACTAATGTTCCATCATTCATTTATGCAGTGAGATAATGTTTTTATTATTCTCTTGATTTAATTAAATCTTTTAAAATTATTATAAAAAATATTATTAAATTAAAAATATACTTGAAATTAAATTATACTAAAATTAACAATGTTATAAAACTCTAGAATAATATTTTTATAACATAAACTGAAGTGAAAAGATAATTAAAATAATATTATTATATTAATATCAGTTATAAAAATTTTTACACATCAGTTTAATTTATTATAAAAATATATTACATAGATAATGATAATATTATTTGAGTTTAAAATTATTTAGTGAGAAATTGACATTATATAATTTATTAAGTACTTACCTTAAATTTTTATATTTAATTTTTTAAAATAATTTAGGATTTATGGAATATGTTAAAATATCATAAATAAAATATCAAATGCTTTTTAGAGCTAATTAATGTATTTAATAATATGTTGTTTTTAAGTGTTAGTATTATAATATGTTAATATATATAAATAAAACTGATGACTGATGGTAAGTTTAGCAAAAAAGAGGCCTCACCTCTCCTCGCCTTTCTTTGGCTGTAGCAGCAAGAGGAAGTTCTGCAACATGATTACCAAACACCCTTAACAGCGCAGCTGACACAATCCTGGATCTGCATTGAAAATCTCCATCAGGAAAAGTTTAATCAAAGCTAGGAGATTCAGAGTTTGCTTTCAGAATAAGCTATAAACTGACAAATATACATAACATGCCTCTTTATTTTGAGCAAATATTACATCCGGATGCCTCTTTATTTTGAGCAAATATTACATCCGGACTCTGGACGCTCCAGGAAAAGTTTAATCAAAGCTAGGAGATTCAGAAGTTGCTTTCAGAATAAGCTATAAACTGACAAATATACATAAGATGCCCTTTTATTTTGAGCAAATATTACATCCGGAGTTCAATAGTGGGGCGCCACGTGTCAAGTGAGGCATACATTGAGATTGATAAGTGTTAAAATTTGTGGAGCCCACTTGACACGTGGCGTTCCACTCTTGAACTCCGGATACATCCAGAGTCCTGACCTAATATTTTTTCCTTTATTTTACTATGCGTATACGAATTAAAACATAACATCTCGATACATAATTTATTTCCAAAAGAAATTAAATGCAGATAAGCAATTACTTCACAGTTATGACAGCACAAAACATTCCTCCGAAAAATTCAGCTACACCCTTTTCACTGAAAAAATATAAGTAAAAATACAAAAAAAATTAGTATAGCACAGAGACTCAAAATAAATTTTCTCAAAGAAGCACGTTAAAAAAAAAAAAAAAGCTAGAAAAATACCCATTGACCATTGTAGATAGCACATCGCGATATCCTTTATAAACAGCACCAAAAGCCTCCTAAAAAAAAAAAAGAGAAATAGATTGCTAAGTTAAAGTAGAATGGATTGCCAAAGGACTGCAAATAACAATTTTATCATTCAAGGAGGAAGTTCACAGTAAAACAAGAACGAGCTCAACCGTTGTTCTACTTGATTGCTTATTGAGCCGAGAGTAAGACCTAAGCTCGATTTCTTTCACAATTACGACATTTTGCTCAAATTCTGCTCATTTACGATCGAGTTGAAGATGAGGCGAAAAGAAACCGGTGGCAATGCCAAGGACAGCAAGATGTGTCACTGTTAATTCGATAGAAGTAATTATTGTTCGAGAAAAGAGTTTTTGTTTCCTATTTAAGCAACATAAAATTTGAAAGCAGAACTCAAAATTTTAGAGCATAATTAATTGCTTTGATCAGTTAAATATGTGGTTAAAATTTCCTTAATGTCTGTAATTCCAGAGTTCTTTCTCATTTTCAAAACTCCAAGTGGCATTGAACAGAGAGTTAGAGATGATTCCATGATAAAAATTCAGAGCCGATTCCAAATTATTGAGATAATGCCTTTAACCATCATAAAATTCAACCTCAGTGTCAAAATTTTAGAGCATACTTCATAGCTATAATTTGTCAGAAGAAAATTGGGATAGCCTTTGCCTCGTGCTTTGTAAATTTTAATTACAAAATTGAATCATGATTATAATTATTCTGATTTGTAAGCGATTCAGTTACAAATTTGTCAATCCATTGAGAGTCTCCTGGATTTGGATCACTATAACAAATTAAATTGAATGGATTTGGGAACTAGATAACCCACGTCATCAGACTAACAAGATAGCCGTTCTTCTATTATGCTGTTTTTATGACATCTTGAGTAAGAAGAATTTACTCCTTCACAACAGTTGTTTTTATGACATGTTGAGCGAAGAGAACTGTCCGAACCTCGGTCATATTCAAGTTAGCTAAGTCCCACAATTTTGACCCATTTAAGTCTCAGACTTGAGCTATCATAGAAGTTGCATATTTTCAACATAACTTATTAAAAGCATACAAATCTCAAAGTCTTTTCAGTTGTACCCTCAAAATCTTAGTTAGTAAAAGAAAAAAAATTTTGCCTTCTAAATTTTATTATGCATATATTTTGCATGATAACGAAACTTTTAGATAAATATTTAGGGATTTTAGCATTCAAGCACGATGTCTACCCAAAAATTCTTTGCTTTATAAAAAGAAATTTTGGCATCATATTTAGGGATCTTAGCATTAAGCATGATTTCGACACTTGTCATTGGGTATCTTAGCCCTAAATTTGTTATCAATCTCAAAAAGAGAACATTGTCTGATAAAATACATTTGGGGATCTCAACATTGAAATATGATGTCAACCCAAAATAAATTTAAAAACTATGAATTCTTGCATTACAAGAGTTTCAAAAAAAAACCCTTCTAAAATCAGCTCAGACTTACGCTCTCTTTGAAAGACTTGAACTTCTTTTTAGGCTACCAAACAACTTGTAGGGTAGAGAAATATTTGGAGTTGACTTCTGCTAGCTCGCATTTGATGATTCCTCTTCCAATGGGGATTGCCTAATAATTTGTAAGGGAGACTGAGGAAGAACAGAAATCAACTCCTACCAGCTTACATTTGATGATCCATCTTCCCATAGGGATGAAGATATTTATCATTCGATTATTCTCAACTTACTAGGGTGTGAAGCATAATCAAAGTCATATCCTACTAACATGAATTTGATAACCCCTCCATCTATGGGGTTTAATCGATAATTATCTATTTAGTTGTCTTATTCAATCAGTTCAGAAAGCCTCAAAATTTGGATCATTTGGCTTATCCGATTGGATAAACTTCAGTATGATGGCTGTTATCATTAAATGGATAAAACTAGAGCTTCTTGACTACGATTTTTTTTATAGCTTATTGAGTGAAGGAAACTATCGACGACTCGGTCATATTAGGCTTGTTGAGTTCGACCTTTAGGACTTGCTTGAGTCCTAAACTTAAGTTGTAAACATTCTTGCGCTTCTTTAACTTGACAAATTGAAGTTCACAAGCTCAATATTATCTCAATTGACTTCCAAGATTATGAGAATTTTGAGAGATGAATCTTTGAATTTTGAAATTACATTGGCTATAATTTGCTTGAAGAGAGGTACATTTCTACTCAATTACTTGAGTATAGTTTTAACACTACTGTGTTAAAAATTGAATTGAGGATCTCACATCGGATACGATGTTAAACCAAATGATAAAATACAAAATATATTTAGGGATCACAACTTGAAGCTCAATGTCAACCCAAATAATAGGATAAACATATTGAGAGATCTAAACGTTGAGGTTCTAGGTTGATTCAAATAAAATAGCCCCCGATCTTGATAGCAATGAAAATTTTAGTGCTAGCTAAATATATATGGGGATCTCAGCTTAAAGCGCGAAGTTGAAAAAAATTAACATTTCAACTTCATGACAACATGCTCGGCTTGATTATTTCTTAGGCAATGATCATCTCTTTGGTTTTGTTCTGGTTTATCAACCAGTTGAGAGAATCCCAATACTCGATAACTTAACTCATCAAGTCGGATACGATATGTAAAACACCTATTGTCATTAAATGGATAAAATGGGGGCTATCTCACTACGATCATTTTTATGACTTGTTGAGTGAGGAGAGATGTCAGCGATTAAGTCATATTTGAGCTTGTTGAGTCCAACCTTCAGGACCCGCTTGAGTTATTTGGGGAAAGACATTAAGTATTGTCAAACTGAAAACAACTTTATCATTGACAACATGAACATCCTCTCAGGGATCTTGACATAAAGCACGATGACATTTGAGTTATTTGGAGATCTCGGCCATGAACATGATGTCAACCTAAATGGAAAAAGATCTCGATGTTAGGCATGTGTCGATACTTTTTGCTAAAGAATCTCAGCCTTGAACTTGATATTTACCCAAAAGAATAGGCCCCATGTCTGATAAAGAAAGGATGTCAATATTCGAAGCACTCAATAGTCTCAGCTTTGGGCATGATGTTAGCTTGAATGTTTAAGAATTTTTGAAATGTTTGTTTCTCATCTAGCAAAAAAGAATGACTTAGGTTTATAATGCATCGAGGGATCTCGTCCATGAGCCTAATGTCAACCTAGATGATAAACTTCTAACTTCGATCTCAATGTCATCTCGAATGATTGCCCCGACAAAGAGGTGATTTCAACACTTGATAGAGGATATCAGCATTTAGCGTGATGTCGACCTAGATGATTGATAATGTGCGAAAAAATTTCAAGCGCTGCTCGGATTTTTTTGGAGATTTCACTTTAAAGCACGGTGTCAACTTAAATAATTAAAAAAGATGTCCTTTGTCTTGCAAGGAGAACTTCTTGATAACTTAAAAATGTGTTATTATATCATAAGAGAATTTCCAATGAAGTATTACACTTGTGCTGGAATAGAACATATATTTTTATTTTCCTGAAAAAAAAATAAATAATAACTTTGACTAGTACATTAATGTCTCTTTGAATATTGATCATTAATTGGCGATAGTGATTGTTGACTATTTAGGTCATTGAGTTAGCAAGTTCCTCCCTATATGCCTTCTTAATGATAGAAGACCTTTCAAATTAGATTCAAATTTTCTATCAACTTTAGGTTTGATGTTCCCTTCGCTAAAATATTGTTGTCAGCATGAATTCGATAATCCTACAACCCATGAGGATTAAAGATACATCTCTATCCAATTGCTTTTGATATAATAGGGAGCAAGGAATGATCATATTTATATCTTACTAGCATGAATTTGATAATCCCTCTACTTGTGGGGTTGCAGTTTGCTGACAATGGGATTTCTTGGCAGGCTCTCCAAGGCGTCAACCATTAGGGATTCATCTATGAGCATTCACCATAATTAATCTTTTAATGATCTTATTAACTGTGGATTTCTAAAAGCATAAATCAAATGTCACACGAAATCCTTCTCTAATCAATTCAAATTCATGAATCTTAAGCTATCGATGGAAGATAACAACTTCCTGATTGGAGCTTTGTTGGTTTCAATCACCAGAAGTTTTTTCTTACACATTCTCTTAATTAAGCCTCTTTCTTTGACAACTTCAAAAATCTTATGCGCTTTAGCAAACAAAATTCAAGCTACTTATTTTTAGCATGAAGGACATTTAATGTTGTTTAGCCCAAAAATAATTGTTCAATGTCACAACTAGAGCTATTTATTTTAACTGATTTTAGGTTTTTCAATAAGTTGCGAGTATGAATACTCACTTCTAAAACTGGAGCTTATTGAACGAGCAATTGCTCAAGCAATAGTTGTTGAGCTCTAAGTTCAATATTTTTTGTTCTCTTTTACCTTCTAGATAGTTTTCTGTTTGATGAAGAAGCTGCAACATCATATCTTCTTGATGCAAGAAGTTCAATATGCTGATTGTTATATTCACAAACACCAATAAAATCTTCTGCACCATTATGTTTTTCTTCATAACTGGTATCTCAACATACTAAACTATTTTGATGTAGCTATAAACAAATATATTAGTGTCAACAATGAGAATCTCTACACCATCGAGTGGCACAGTAGCTATGAATAATGTGATTCCCTAAGAGAGAATATTCTTATCTTTAGAGAACAAGAGAACTCTTTAAGATATTTAAATTTGAAATTCAAATATCACATTCCAATGCTCAACGGACAATATTTCTCTTTTTACTGTGACATTTCGATAATACATTCATAGATTAAGGGTCTGTTTGGCGCAACGGAATAGCTACGGGGCGTTTTCAAAAATTCAACATTGGTGTTTGTTTTCTATGTCTTCGTTGTGTTGCGGGATAAGCTGATTTTCTTTCGTATTACACGTCGCCCACGAGTTCGACCCCGTGTCCCGCGTTCAGAGAAAATTGTTTACGACTCTGCTCTCCCCGCGTCTGATGTTATTTGCGGTGTTAATCGCAGTGTTATCGCGTCTTTTGACAGCCGTTGATTCGTGGTA